CAGAATCCTGTTGCAGAATTCCTATCCAGGAAGCGGAACATCTTCAAACATGGAAACAAAATCCAGAAGATTGTTTTTTAACCTTTTTGGAATGACTACGACCTGGATGAATGAGAATCTTCACCAGCATATAACCCTAATTTAGATTGATTAAAAGCACAGTGTGTAGTACTGTACTGGGAATTACAGCCTGCAGCTGGAGTGAGCGGTGGAGTTATAGGCCTGTGCAAAAAAAAAAAAAAAAACACTAAATCTTGATAAAATAAGGTAATACGCACCAAGAGTCCACGGATAATGTTCTAATTGTCTTTTTTAAGCCTGAATAGAATTTCAGCATTGGGTGCAGTGAGGATCAGAGGAGCCTGTGGCTTGAGTGAGTGGCGGAGTGGAATGAGAGAAGGTACCAGCTGGTCCATGTCTGTGCTGGAGGTAGGATACGAAACAGTCTTTCTGGGGCTAAATTAAAAACAATTGATGCTGCGATTTAATGTAGGTAAAGTGATGTCGCAGAAGCCATTTTCTACGATGACGGACTCCATACCGTTAGAGGGGGTGGGGTGGTTCATGTCGCTCCCATCTGACCGTTTGATGTCACTGAAAATTACACATTGAAGCTTTAAAGGACTTAAAACAAAGTCGTCTTTTATAAAAGTAGCAGAATCACATAACGAAACATGTATTAATATCCAATCAAAGGTCACAGTTAATAAAAAAAAACAGAGTAAAAATGCAGAATAAAAATATAAATTGTATTCGGAAAAGTATAGTGTATAATTATGTTATACATTTTGACGGGTTCAACATGTATAAATATTAACTTCTGGTTAGGATGCTATGGTGGATGTGAAAGGATTCAGCACCAATAGGAATAGCAGGTTGAAGCCACATTAGACGGAGGTGTTGCCAGATCCTAGTAGCTCTGGGGTAGAGCTGAAAGTGCCTTTTTCTCAGCGTTCTATTTTTCAAGCCAAAAAAGCAACAAAAAAAAGAAGAAAATAGTCTAAACTAGGGTGAAACAGGGCCTTGGTGTCGACCAACTGAAGCAAAGGGACTCAGGAGCCACATGGAGTTTGCAGCTTTTCTTCTGAGCAGCTCATTTAAGTTTTCAAATGCTGACCAAAGATTAGCATTAGCAGACCTGACAACCATACATTATGGAACACGGGACAGAGTTCACCACTTTCTGGCTTGGAGGAACTAAACTTTTAGATATCTCCTTTATTTCAGTGCTAAAAAAGAAAAAGCAACATTTACTTTAGAAAATCACCGATACATCAACAGTTTGTGCTCCTAAATATAGCATAACTTTGTCATGGAACTTTAAATCCTGCTTTTCTGGGGTAGGAATCTGTTACTGTGCTCATCTCCCATATTTAGGTTGCCAACAGACACAATGAGCAGGAAAGTGACGAAAGGTTAACGACCTGCAAATCTTAATTGCATCAGAGCATCACAATGTGTTTTAAAGCTCTATTAGGAGAGGCAGCCCATTAATGCTAACTGTTACGTATGGTGGAGGATGTAGCATACTGTGGGCCTTAGTCCCTTTTAAAGTCTTTGGCTATCTGCATCAAGTGAATCAGAACTCCTGGAAACATTATGACATTAAAGGGCCCACATGATGCAAAATCTACTTTTATTTTGTCTCACAACTATGTTATAATGCCTCTCCATCATAAAAATCATGTCCAAAGTGGTATTATGCTTGATTTGTGCATGTCTGAGTAATCCTAATAAATACTGCTTTCTAATCAGTAGCCCCTCCCTGTCCTGAAAAAACCCATGGGCATGATTGGTCTACATGGAGCTGTGAATACCAGTAAATCTAACACAACATGCCAACATTGTCTGATCAGTGAGCTGTGATGTGAGGCAGAGTGTGATCATTTCTGCTCAAAGTTAAGATAAAGTAGAACTTTACTTTACTCTTTTAGCTAATGTTTAACTTGTAAAAATGTATTTTTTAGTCTCTAGGGCGATGTCAGAATGGACAGAAACCAAACTGGGATGGGTGGTGTCGCAGAGAAGGCAAGTGATTTTCCTTTATTTGGTAGAATCGCACTAGAAAATAACTGATTCTTTATAATAATTGAATTCTGTATTGTGCAAAAGGGATATTTCATGCCTATAGATCAATGTAGGAAGGCTTAGAGGTGCACAGTCCTGTTATAGGCCTGTGCAAAAAAAGACAAAAAAAACCCCACTAAATCTCGATAAAATGAGGTTATACACACCAAGAGTCCACTGATAATGTTTTGATTGTCTTTTTTAAGACTAAATAGAATTTCAGCACTAGGAGCAGTGAGATAAAATAAGCAGACATGATGCCATCTAATGATATACCACATAAGTACCTGAAAGCCAGATGGCGAAAGGTTTGCCTATGCTACATATTAGAACCCAAACGTCCTGCATTTCCTCATGGGGAAGCAATAGCTCGGTCAAAGACCAGCCAGCCAGAATCAAATAATCCAATTTACAGCAACTCCAGTTACTCCTCCTCAGAACCCAAAAATAACATCAGAGGAAAAAGAAAAGTCCTCTTCCTGACAAACTCAAACAGGGAGAATTTCATGGTAGGAAATATTTAATTCAAATGAGAAAAAAAAGTTACAGGCTAAAACCTTTTCAATCGCAAATTGAAATAATTAAAATTAGACTCATCTGTGAAGTGAGTCTGATTTAGTCTTCTGAATCCACGCTAGCTGTCACTGGTATTAGTATTACTAATTTTGTAATACTAAAACTGGATCTTTTCGCATCTTAACTGAGGTGCTAACTGGCTTAGCCACTTTACTTTCTTGTTATCTCCCTGCACACAAATGCAGTATCATACCTCCGGTTCCTTGGTGCTGTTACACTGACAAATTGAGCTAAAACAAAGTATAAAACACAAAAATAATTAACAACACGCCAGCAGGACGCTGTCATTCCTAAGAAGAACTGTTTACACAACTGGAGGGAGCTACTGAATATATGTATAGATTTAAAAAAGGTCAACATGAAAACAACTGGATATTGGTGTTTAATAAAATACGTGCAGTCTACTCTCCAAGTTTGGATGATTTGAACAAATTATTAAGTGCTCAAAAGACAAAAATCAATCTCTCGTCAGCGCCACCTGAGTCCAAAAAC